GAAATCTGCTTTTGAAGCCCTCTCTGTTGGACAGAAGTCTGAGCTTAGAGAATGTGTGTGGCGTCGAGTGCAGGACAATGGCACCTCATGCTGAAGAAGCTGCTGTATGCCTCAGCCCTCCTATCCCAGGTCCCTCAGCTCAGCTCCCTGCTGTCCCTGTAAGTCATCTGGGCCTTGTCCCCATTTGGCAGAGAGGGAGCTTCTTTGCAGCTATGCAAGACTGGAGGACAGAGAAGGGCCCTCAGCCCTACAAGGCTTGCAGTAGTCGCTTAGCCAGTCTCCTTCTGAACCCACCTGAACATGGAATCACGCCTTCTGGGCTGCTCTCCAATCTACGCCCCCACAGGGAGGCCTTTTCTAAAAGCTTCTGTTTCAAACTCCATTCTTCTGTCTGGTTCCTGGATGGGGACCGACAAGAGTGCAGCTAGGGGTCTTATCCCTGACGAGGCTGGCAGCTGTGGTGGCGGGTCCCAGCACCCTGCCACCCTTGGCACTGTCTCCGGCATCTGTGTGGATGGCAGCTGCGTGGGTACTGCTCCCACACCCTGTGTGAACACAGCAAATAACGACAGCCAGGCAACTGCTTCCATTTGTCCCAGACTCCTCCCTGCTGGGTCAACAGCAAAAACTAAAGGAACCCAGTCTTCTGTGATCATGGCATGCTGCCCATCGAGCTTTGGGGAGAAGACTCTGGCCAGCTTACGGGTGCCCTGGGCTGCCAGATCCAGGGTTGATAAAGCTTGAGAAGATGCTGGTATTAATGGGCCACAAGCCTGGGCACGGCTTGCATCTGAAAGCCAAAAATAAGTAGCCCTGTAAGATCTAGAGTGGCAATGGGCAGGGTGGCGATGGTGGCAGTGGCAGTGGCTGTGCTGGTGGTGGAGGCAGGCATTAAGAGACCCTAGGGACACGCTGCCCGGGGAGGCATCTTTGCTGTGGAGATACACGGACTATTTTCAGCTGCTTGTTTCTCAGATGCCTAGCTGCCATGGGAAGGCTGTGCCCCAGCTTCCTCCTGTGCCCTTGTGCTGAAACTGGCAGCGAAGCTCCAGCTGGGTTATTACCTCATCGACTTTCCCCTCTCTGCCCCCACCCCCCCCAGGGGAGAGCCCAGTTGTGGAAAGCAGCAGGAGCCTTTCCAACACAAATAAACCGTCTCCGTCTCCGGGAGTAACCATGATGTCAGAAGGTGAGGATGGGCTTCACTGTGGATGCCTGATGTCCCAAGAGCCAGGCCCGGGCCCCCGTCAGGGATGCAGGCCAACCTGGGACCTGAGAGACAGGAGATGTCCTCTGAAATCCAGGCTTGGGAGGCCCCGTCCGTGAACGGATCTGAGTCACAGGAGCAGCACTGCTCTTTGCCCGACCCTTGGGTGTTGGCGGCAGTTGCTCCCAGACCGGAGCTCAGGCTGCTCAGAAGCCAATGTGCTGGGTAACCTCATAGATGCCTTGCATTTCTTGAGCCCAGATTCATTTTCAGGCTTGCCTAAACTGCACATTCACAGATTACCACAAAGGACAACAGCACGGGAAAACATGGGACTGGAAGCAATGTGCGCATGTGAACTCTTTCTCCATTAGAGGGGTCAGGGTGTTGAACCATTCACTCTCTCCATTCTGGGCATTCATGCTGCTAAGAGCATGCCCCAAGATTGGGCGGGATATTGAATGTGAAGCAAAATTTTCTCTGTACAGGCCTCCTAAGACTCTCTTGACTAGCAATTATTATAAGATGATTATAGGATTGTCAACGGATTATACGTGCAATTATAGGTAAATAACTACGGATATAACTTGTATAGTGTTTACGGTTTTTAAAAAGCAATGTGATATACATTGTATCATTTACTTCCCACGACAGTCCTGAGGATATTGGGTCATCTTTAGACACTCTTGAGCACATTGAGGCCCAGAAAACGAAGTGATGTACAAGAACCCAGGACCAAAACAACCAGTCCTGGGCTAGTTCTGTGATTCTGTTCTGCCTTTTATGGCTTGAGCCTTGCCAATCTCATGTACTTACCAAAGGGGCTGTCTATTTGTTTCTTTGTGTATTTTGTGGCTATTTGCTGAACTTCAGGCACTGTTCTCTTTCGTAGGTGGAGCAGGGAGAAACAAAAGATACCCATTCTTCTGTCTTGGGATGGGGAAGAGACTGGCAGCTTGGGTTTGAATACTTGGCTTGATCATGTCTACCTTGCTCGTATTGTCCAAACCTGGCCTGAGATGAAGATTTGCACATTGGCTGGAACAGCCCTGGTTTGCTCATTTTGGCATCTCGTTAGAATTATTAATAATACTTACTTTTTTTTTTTGAACTTAAAAAGTTTCCTGGCTAGGGGTAATAAATCACATGATCACCACCCAGGGGCACACAGCACACCTGCAATTGCCATTTGAGAACCGTACTCCAGGGTGAAACTCCAGAAGCCAAAGGTACGTGGTAAAATTAAGAGAAGGTGACACTGAAAAAAAGCTGACCTCAACCAGGCGTGGTGAGGCAGAGGCAAGCAGATCTCTGTGAGTTTGAGACCAGCCTGATCTACAAAAGGAGTCCAGGACAGCCAAGGCTATACAGAGAAACCCTATCTCAAAAGCAAGTAAGCAAGCAAGCAAAAAAAAGCTGACCTCAATTAAAAGACCCCTTTAATTACACACTTTGCAGAAAGTACCCTGAGTGGAAGTTTCCAGAAGCACAGCTCACCAAATAACCATGTGTGCTTTAATGTTGCCAGACTTCCTTGCAGAGCGGATTGGGTCATGTGACTAGTTGGGTCCTCTTGGTGACCGGAAGTGAGGTGCCACTTCTAGGCTAAGGCAAGATCCGCTGCTCTCTGCCTGCCAGCTGTACTGAGATGAGTTCTGTTGCCATGGCTGAGCCACTTCTTGGGGAAAAGCCCTCTCCAGCCTTCGTGGACCTCCTGTGAGGGAGAAGTCAGTGCAAGCGTGCAGAGCCATCAGGCTTTCCCTGTCCCTGCCTAACAAGCCTGTTGTCTTGATATTGAAGTGAGAACTGCTTTACCTGATCTGATTAGGAAAAGGTCTGTGTGCCCTTTCTAGTCGTAAAAACACAGCTTCCTTTTCCTCGCTGTCCTGAGGGAGTTGTTTTATTTCAATGTTTTTAAGGTGGTGCTGGATCCACAGGCTCACACCTCCCCCTGCGTTCTTGGCACTATCTGATGGTATACCGTAAGCCCCCAGGGAGGTACTAGTGGTATGGACTGCGATGGAGGTGTCACCTTAGATGCTTATCAGGCTGCAAAGTAGGCTTCCAACTGTAGTCTGGTTTACCTGTCTCCCATCAAGGGCTCTAATTCCCCACGCAGCACAAAGTTTCTAAGGATGTGGGTTAATCCCCTCTACGAACTATAAAATCAGTTGGGAAGGATGCAACTGGCATTTAAAAAGTTAAATAGTGTAGAAAAAAATCAAGGGTGTGCTATGTGAGGTGAGAGGATGCAGCATTCGTAAAACTCTGAAGTGGGGACGCTGCCCACTGTGCAGCTCTTCCTCACTGCGGGTATGGTGACTGCATCTCCTGCTGGGCAGCATGGATCAGCAGTGACCATCAGGTGCTTGTGGCAGCTAGGAGAGCTGACAGACTGACGGAATCAGTCGCCAGAGTGACCCAGTGCTACATACAAATACTTCCAGGAGGCAACCTGGCTACTAACAGAAAACCAGTTGGCGGGTGATCTGCATGGCGGGGGAGAAATCAGTCAGGGCAGTTTTCTGGATGGCAGCTTACCAGCTCACCCATCTCTGCTGCCCGGTGTTGAGCTGGGTTTCTCTGGAACTGCCCTTTGCAGAGTGAGTTTCAGTTTCGCACTGAAATGAGGATAACCAATCCTCTTTTGACTGGTCCCGTTATGGTATTTATGGGGGAGTCTACACCAAAGCGAGGGAAGCTGAGTTCCTTAAAGACTGAGCCATGATGCCCTGGCCTAGTAACAGACATCGGTGGTGTGTGGCAGGCGTATTTTTAATCAGGGCAACGGCGAGAAAGACAAAAACACACCATGGGAGTCAAAAGGGGTGGCTGGGCACGATATCCTGGGACGTGAAACCTTCTTCTACCTCTTGATGGACAGCCAGGCTGCTGACCCTAGCACAGGATGACCACCTTTGTGTGGGGTTGCTAACATGGAGACAGTTGTGTTGCCTTTTTGGTGGGGTGGGAAGGAGGAGGGAGGGGAGAGGGGTCCTTTGGGAACTCAGAAGGTGGGAAGATGGACAGCTTTTAAGAGCATCATCACCAAAGGTCCAGGTGAGACCAGTGATCAAAACGCCCTGGTCTGAAATGTGATACTTTTAATGAGCTAACCACTCCCAACACTTCCCTTTTTAAAGTTTTCATACTGTTAGAGAAACACACACACACACACACACCAGAACAGCAATACTGAAATGGAATTAAATAACTACAGTGTGCTTAAAGTGCATGTAGCTGTTCTTGGTCCTGCCTGAGATCTCGGGGGGGGGGGCTGCTCCTGACCCTGAGCTTTGTGAGACTGTGAGGCCCCAGGAGGGAGGGGGAGGAGCCTGTTGCCCACCCAGAGTGCTGTAGACACTTGCCCTCTTTAGGCCTCTGCAGTCAGCCACTGGGGCCTGGGATGGGATGGTTTTCACCAAGAGGCCCAAGATGTCTGGATCTGTGTGCTGCTCCCAGGCAGACTCCAGGGAGATAACAGCTAATCAGACCAAAGCACACATTACAGGCGCCTTTTCTGGGCTAGAGAAAGAAAAGAACAACAAAACCCAAACAAGAGATAAATACGTATTCTAACTCATACACATATGTAGGTATACCCACATATACAAACACACTTTTTAGAACAAGCGTGTGACAAAAGCAGTATCATCATTCGCCTCCAGCTGCATTGGGCAATGTCATCGAGAGTCGGGGTGGGGACCTTGTAAATCCAGCTCTGGTTCCCCATTGCATAACCAAGCTCTCATCCACCCTGTCCCTCTCGAGTCCTTCTGCTGTTTAACTTTTTGCTCTGCAACTCACACGCAGTAGTAAGGTTGAATGAAGACATTTATTTGTAAAACCAATTCCTGACACGGAAGAGATTGTAATATTGGCAGGATGTAAATGGACGGCCTCTCAGAGGACCACATGCACACCACAGTGAAACCCGGGGAACCAGACAGAGAGCACTGCTGCCGACCCCCCTCGTGGCTTCCAATCGGCCAACCGAAGAGCAGAGTCCTTTCCGCTGGAGGACACAGATGCACGGAGATGTCCTGTGAGAAGGCAATTTGGTCTGACCTCCACCATGGAGTGGGAGGGGACAACAGGGGACCTCCTTTCTATCACCCATGGCTTATTTGCTTCCTATAGAGCCGCCGAAGGCCTCCGTGGTCCTCTACCTGCCAGCAGGAGGGCAGCAGCAGCCAGCATCGTGGCCTTCTCACATGCCCATCCTTATGCTCTGTATGATCTGGAAGATAGCTGCAAGAGGAGAGCAGATAGACAGCTCAGAAACCAGACGGCCCGACCCTGGAAACGCAATCCACCCGGTAGCCTGTGTCTGCTGACCCTGCCCCTCGGTGGCTGGCCCAGAGCTGATTAGATACTTCCTAACAAGGGGTTACGTTAACAAGGGGTCAGTGAATTCCTTTCAAAAAGACAGCCCAGCTCTGGCTGTTGATGGATGCCTGTGGGATTAATAGATAACTTCTGCTAATTCCACCAGGAGCAGCAGCCAGAAATCCCTGAGGCATGGAAGATAGCTTTGGCCTCCTTCCCCCTACCCCCCCCCCCCGCAGTCTATGTTGTGGGGCTGCTGGGAAGAGAGATGTGGGCCTTCGTGCAGAAACTGCATGCGTTAAGCAGGTCAGTGAGTCTGCCTTTTCAAAACGGCCGTGACCTGTGTGACAACCAGCTCAGGGTCGGGAGAAGGCAGGGCAGGTGTTCAGAGCACACACACAAGGCTGACCTCTGCTGCCTTTGACCCTCAGCACATCTGTCTTTCAGCATCCCTGTGACTCTGAAGCCAATTGTCTCTCACTGTGGGCAAAACTGACAGGATAAGGGGTCCTCCCTTTAATCAGCTGGGTTGTTGGTATGCAGAGCAGGGCAGGAGTCTGAAGCCCACGGAGAACTCCTGGGCACTCAGAGCATTTGGAGAAAACTGGTTAAGTAATACCTAGCCTGGTTCTAGCTATTGGCTTTCACGTCCTGTGTGTGTGTGAGAGAGAGAGAGACAGAGATACAGAGAGACAGAGAGCGAGCTTCTGGCCTGTGGCTCTTAACGCTGGTGAGGATAATGATAAACAGAAAAGGAGCTTCAGGGAGGTTAAGCAGCATCTCATTTAATCACTGTAAAAAAAAAAAAAAAAGAAATAAACATGGAACTATCAAGAGTATCATTTCTGCTCCGTACAAAGTCATCCCAGAAAATACCCAGGAAACTCTACTTCCTACGACACCACCAGGAAGCGGGTTTCTCCGAAGTGCCAGGTAACAAGTCATTTGGGGGTGCTTTCACTTCAGGGACTAGATTCCTGGAGGTGAATAGCTCTTATCTGAATGCTTGAGACCAGAGTGTTGAAGACTTCAGTTTTTTTTTTTTTTTTTTTTCAGTTTTTGAATTTGGAATATTTGCATATACCATGAGATGTCTTAGGAATGGGCCCCAAAGCCTCAACATGGAATTCATTTACACCTTATAGCCCGAAGACATTGTGCACCATTTTTACTAATTTTGTGCATGAAGCAAGGCTTCATGCTGTTGAATTTTCCACTTGTGGCATCACATCACAGAGAGGTTTTAGAGAAGTTTCAATCTCAGGATTTTGCAGGAGAGATGTTGTGAACTGTGCTTGGAAAAAAAAAAAAGTGCCCAACAGGGCCCCAGGGAATCTTCGTTGGGCAGCTAGATTTTAAGTAGGCAAAGTGTTAGTGCATATTTATTTTTCTGTCAAGGGGAAAGCTTTTCTGTGGAAACACTGTATACGTTATCGTTTTCATAAACTGGAAAACCTAATCGTGATGTAACAGTATCTCTTCATAAATACCCAGAGAGCATACACAAACTTCACAATGAAAAACAATAGCTAACAAGGGTGACCCAGTGTTTGACCAGCTGCATGCCTCCTTCCAGTTTCTTGTCCTTTTGTCTCTTTGTTGTTGCCTCTGGTCACATCTCTGGGGTTACTGTACTCCCATGTACTGTTTCTTTGCTGCTGTGGACCAAGCTTAAACAAAGACTTAGGACTGTGCAGATGTGAAGGAGTTTGGTCAGCAGCTTAGGAATATTTAAGGCTGTCTCTGCTCACAGGCCTTCTTGGCGACTTTTGTGTCCTTGTCTGGCTCTGGATGGGAAAGTTTCCTACCAGAACTTAGACACTTGAAAAAAAAAACAAAAAACAAAAAACAAAAAACAAAACAAACTACCTAATGATTCTGTCCTCCCCAACAAGCCAGACAAGAAGTGGGGATTAAATAAGCAGTCACTAGTCTGACTCAGCAGGAGTGGCATGAGGGAGCCCAATAGTCACATTAGGAGCAGAGCACATGCCCATCTCTCACGTGCTGGGATGAGAGTCATCCTGATCTTGGGATGCAAGGTGACTTTACAGACAGCAGAGGGTTAGAGGATGAGGGAACTGGGTTGAGTCACAGCCCCCACGAGTGACATCAGGCTATTGTCTCTTCTGAGAAGAAGGTACCAGCACCGATAACCCTGTCGAAGGATCGAGGGATGCAACAGATGCAAAGGCTCCTCACACACTGAAAATACAGTGCACATCATACCTGCAAGGCTGGTATTTCAGTTTTGGTTTTTTAATATTTCATTTATACCTAGTACACACTTATCTACCTACTTAAAAAAAAAACTCTGTGTGTGTGTGTTTGTGTGTGTGTGTGTGTGTGTGTGTGTGTGTGTGTGTACCTGCTCATCAGTATGTGCAGCACCATGTGTGTGCTAGTGCCCTTGGATGCTAGAAGAGGCCATCAGAACCATGGGGCTGGAGTCACAGTGGTTGGCCTTGACGTGGGTGTTGGGAAGTGAGTTAAAGGATTCTTAACCACTGAGCCATCTCCCCAGCCCCTGACGATCATTTTGTACACTATTTTTAGAGCACCTGAATTTTGTCCGTGGCCCATTCATTACATTGGGGTCAAACATAGAATTTGCCACCTACGGGAACATGCGAGCACTCAGAAGCTTTAGACTTGGGAACATTTTGGGCTTCCAATTTTCAGATTAGACACTGAGAATAGTTCACGTAACTATCACAGCAGTGACCACTGCTTGCCTGTAGCACTCACATGCTGTGTGCACCCTGACGACGTGTGAACTTTGGGGGATACTTTGGGGGATTTGCAGTTCGAGTTCTGCTTTCTCTGGATGTAAAAACATGGACTCCCAGGAATAAATACGGTAGCATGTGTGTAAAGTTCTACCTGCCGGTGGCTAATGCTGAAAACTGTTACCTTTCTGTTAATCTCGTCTGAGGACCTGTGGGCCACAGGTCTGAATAGGAAATGTGCTATGTCTTAGTGCACCACACTTTATACTACGTCACCTTGTGACTTTAGAAATTCTAGGTCAGATGCATGGATTGGACCTCGGCCCCCTACACATATGTACCCGATGGGCAGCTTGGTCTTCATGTGGGTCCCCTGGTTCGGGGAGTGGGGGCTGTCTCTGACATGGCCTCTATTGCCTGCTTTTTGATCACTTCCCCCGGCGGGGCTTCCTTGCCAGGCCACTGAAGAGGATGCACTCAGTCCTGATGTGACTTGATATGCAGAGGTGGATTGGTGGGGGTCAGGCTCCTGTTTTCTGAGGGTCAGGGGAGGAGGGGTAGGAGCAAGAGGGAGGAAGGGTGGGACTGGGAGGAGAGGAGGGAAGGGGCTACAATCGGGATGTAAAGTGAATAAATAAATTTTTAAAAAGAAGTTCTAGGTCAGGATAAAGCTATTCAATTCTTTTTCCAGAACTATTAGTCTAAGGAAACTTAGACAAAATTGGCAAGCCTCAAAAGGGCAAGACATATATTAAAACAACTTGCCAATTTAAGTTTTCTTTACAAGTAGTCACATCTGATGTTAACTGAAGCCCTGAGTTAGCATGCAAAATATTTATTACTTTTTAATTTGTCTACAAAGCAACTCCCTCCTGGAGAAGCAACTGAAGTCTATTTTAAGTTCACATCTAAGACTGTGGAGAGAGGGGGATGTTTATTATTCCCGTTCCAGTTGTACTGATGTCTTCAAGAAGTTTTCTACATTTTATACCAGTTATTTTGCTTGTAATTCGCATGCCTGCCAACTCTGCCCTGCAGAGTGACCCCGGCTCTCTAAATGCTGACTTTCCATGCTGCAAACAGGAAGGGAGCCAGCAGTGAGATCAAAGAGGGAAAGGAAGCAGGGAGTCTAGACCCTGACAAGTTAATAACTTAACAGTGGGTGAACAAAGCTGAGAAAACAGCTGAACTGGCTTGCAGGAGAGGGGCTGAGGGCAGACGAGACAGGAGGGAAGAGAGATGCCAAGAAAGGGTAGGGAGGTGGGCATTCCAGGCCAGCCACCAGGTCCTGGGCGGGTCACCAACGGAGGCTCAGGCAAGTCTGCAGGAGCAGGGACTGCCAGAGTGAATGGACTTTGCTGTGTTTGGGATCCTCGGAGACCTCACGTTCTCAGCCTTCCTAATGCTGCACTGTTTTAATACAGTTCCTCATGTTGTGGTGACCCCCAACCGTAAAATCAGCTTTGTTGAGACTTCATAACTGTAAATTTGCTACTGTTATGAATCGTAATGTAAATATCTGTGTTTTCCAATGGTCTCAGGCGGCCCTCTGTCAAAGCACTGCTGAGACTCCCAAAGGAGCCGCGACCCACAGGTTGAGAACCATTGCCTCAGATGCTCACAGCCCAAGGTCCTTCACCTTTGCTCTTTCAACCAACTCAAGCTTCAATTTGTCTGACGTTCTAGGTCTCCACAGGCTCAGGAGGTTCGTGTCCCTAAAAAGCTGCTCACAGCTCTTCTCACGTCCTTGCCTTCTCTTCCCACCTCAATCCCCCTCACTCTTACTTTTTGTTCTCTCCACTGAAGCATATTTTGCTAAAGGCACAAGAGACCTCTGTATCATTGAGTGTGAGAGTTGTTTCTCAGCTACCATTGGGTGCTCCCTCCTGAAATTCCCCTCTTTTGGCCTTTGAAATGTCTTGGTCTCTTAGTTTCTTCTTTTAGGCTCTTTTTTTTTTTTTTCTCATCGAAGCTTACGGGGCCATCTTCCTCCACCACACACTGAGTTTGAGCACTGGGTTCCTCTCCAAGCTTTGTGGTTTGCCTCTCCTTGTTATGTTCTTTGTCGTGAGGTAACTGTCCTTGCCCACAGAGTTAAGGACCACAGCTGGTGATCGCTCACAATGAGATCCTCCATCCCTGGGCAGCAGACAGCCACTGTCTATCACTTAGTGACTGCCAGGCTTTCTCGTTCTGTCTTCCCGCTGATAAAATTGGTGACATCATCTTACATCTTGCATGCAAACACAGAACTCCAGAGACACCTGTGACTTTCTGACTGATGAAGACCTGTGGACTTTACGTGAGGATCTTAGCTTTGCATTTTTCTCTCCATCTCCCCAGGACACCACCTCGCTCTAGTTCAAGTCACCACCATCTTTCCTGAACTCTACAAGGACTTCCAACCCCTCTACTCTGGCTCTTCAATCCCTCTTCTGCAAGGTACTCAGATTTAACTCAGATAGTATGGGATTACCTCCTGTGTAAAGCAAAGCAGAAACAACTTCTTGCTAAGTTCTCAACAGGACTTCCATGACTTAATAGATTCTGTCTCCTGCCCACCTGTCCAGAGCTACCTAAAAAGTTCTTTCCCTTGCACAGAAACTCCCTCAGGATTTTCAAAACACCCTATCTCTGCCACAAGGCTTTATTCCAGGTTATTCTTTCTATCTGAAATCCATGCTCTCTCCTGCCATGCGGCCTACTTTCTCCATAAACTCAAAAGGTATTTCCTCAGAGAGAATGTTTTTGACACCATAAAGAAGACAATCTTAAACATCAATGTCCGATAATCTTCTCCTGAGAATGTGCTGAAGCGTTCTTTCATAGATGCTAGAAAAATCAAATACCAAAACAAACACTCAACAAATGAAAAGCAACAAAAAAATCCTACCCCCAATCAATAAATCAGCTAATGAACTGAATAGACAGTTCTGAAGCCTTTTAAAAAGTAATCAATATCCTTAGCCATTAAAGTAATGCTTTGAGAGTCTATCTTACTCCAGTCAGAATGGCTATCATCAAGGAAAACAAAACAAAACAAAACAAAAACAAAAGACTAATGACAATAAATGCTATAAGTGCTGGAGAAAGAAAGCCTGTATTCATTGCTGGTGGGAATATAAATCAGTTCACCCCAGAGGTGCTGGCATATCCACGTTAATAGCTTCACTATTCATCACAGCTAAGAAATGGACCCAGCCTAGATGTAGCTCTAACCAGGAGAATGCATGAATGTGTTTCCTAGGAAAAATGACAGAAGCTGGGACTCTGCTCCAATAGGAGGCTTGAGGCCACTTTTATTGTGGATAAGTACTTAATGATAAGAGATATCAAGAGAGTTGCTAAGAAGAGATCAAGGCAGGCCAGTTCAATATCCTTTAGGCAGATAAGACAGCTCCAGAAATCAAACTTTATTTTTTATTAAGAAAAAAGATGAAATAAAAAATCTGGTTAAAGAAAAGCCTGGGTCCCCTGAAAGACAAGCAGAGTGTCAGGAGAGAAGGCTTAGCAAAGCTGACTCAGTAAGCTCTTAGAGAAACACAAAGACACAAGCAAAGTGCCATTTTCCACTGGCTGTTCCAGAGAAGACCAGAGCGATGCCAGAGATAGGTTAGGGCAGGAAGATGTCAAAAAGTAGGTGTTACTAAAACAGATTGGGATGTCCTCCCAGAAAGAGACCTTACACAGGGGCACATGACAAGAGTGCCACAGGTCACCTTGTGAGGGTCGATGGCCGCAGAGACGTCTCCTCCAGACTGTCCATCTTTGTCCTCTGGGGCTGTCCGGTTCTCATGTACCTCATGATGGTCTCTGGAGTGGACTTTCTCTGGAAGCAGTTTCCAGAATGTTCTGGCAGTATCCAGGAAAGGCCAGTATTTATGTGGTCAACCTGCAAACATGGGGGACTCAAGTCTATCCTGGAGCAAGTTTCTGGGAAAGAGGGAAGAGAGTGGGAACATTGGTGAACCAATGAAAGAGCAGCCTGTGGCTGGGGAAAGATCTTTTCATTTGGGAGCAGATGGTCAGACAGCTGGACTATTTAGAAAACATAGTTCTCTGGCAGCAGAATCCAGAGGATGTTCTGTCAATGTAGCTATCTGCAAGGCCTACAGTTAGCAAACTTTTGCTCTGTAGTATTTTTAGGGGAAAACCAGATGAGATGGGAGGTGGGGCAACAGAAAGCAGATGGGGTTTAAAGTCCCAGAGTTCAGAGCACTAACCTTTAGACCACAGAACCACATGGGTTTGGAGTCTCAAAGAGCTAAGTGTGAGAACCAGCTGGTTCAATTTTTTAGATATGAAATTCTGGCTGGTTTTTCTCTACATGCGGCAGTTTTGTGGTCTGGGAAAAAGGTGTAGTGGCCTCCTGGCTGGGGGCTGTGTAGTTAGGAGAGAAAATAACAGAGCCTGGCACGACAATGAGTCCTCAGGGAATGGTCAGTGATCTAGTGGGAACAAATCTGGCTCTTGCACTGTGCGCTGCACTATGAAGCAGAAAATCGGTTCCTCTGTCCCTCAGATCTCCCTGGTAGGTACAGCTGGTCAAGATGGGACAGGCTGTTTGGTAGCTTGGATTTCTCTCCCTCCACCTCCTCATTTAGGTTCTGACCAAGATCGTAAATGCTTTCTCCTTTTTGGCAGCCCTACTTCGGGCTGGTACAGACATGCGTGGTGGGGGAGAGAAGGCATATGAAGACGAACCAGCGGCACCATGACCATAAAACATAAGACATAAAACCACCATCCTGCTGCCAACGAGCATTTTGCACATTAATGTCAATTCTCAGGAGAAGCCGTCATGAGGGAGATCAGAACCACTCCCCCCTCTAACAACAGGTGACACCAGGCTTAGAGCGAGCCCCAGCAGCTTGGACAAGGCCACACAGCTGGGAAGTAGGTGGCAGAGCCAGGTTTCAGAATAGGCTGGGTTGTTTGTTGGAACTCTTAGTAACTGAGCTAACTCTGTCTACTCAGTGGCTTGCAACCAACATGCTCTGGAATGCAGGGCTTCTCCTGTCCCCCAGAAGGTCTCAGAAAGCAGCAGCCTTTCACAAAGGAGGTTCTTAGCTGTTGCAAAGGTCCTCTCTGGTGTCTGAGCTTTGGGCTCAAAGACATGTCACCACAAAGCTGGTGACCACATGAGCGTCGCACAGGGAGTACAGGGCAGAAGACACAAAGGGAGAAGTTCTTTGTCCTTCCACATGTTTCTCGAACACTCACAACCCAGTCTTTCCCCTCATTTGAACACAAAAGGCCAGCCTTAAGGAAGGTCAGGGTGTGGCCCTACGGGAAATGGATGTGTACCAGGGCATCTGCTCAGGGACAGAGGTGGGTGTCTGACACTTGAGGCCGGGCACAGAAGAAAAGTCCTGCCAAGAACATCGCAGAGAATCACTTCTCATCAGTTCTAAAAGAGGCTGTCCCGGAAAAGGACCTGTCTGTGACATGCTATCTCTGTCCCCAACCCCAGCTCCTGTAGGCAGAGTCCCCAGAGAGTCCAGGAGAAGAGTACAGTCTGCTAAATGACGAACAAAAGCAATGTCCCCACCCAGAAACAGGGGAGCTGGCTCCCTGCATCGTGCCAGATAAACAGAGCAGGCTCTGTGCTCAAAGGCTTTCACTCTGCAGCGAGAGGCCAGATCCAGTTTACTGTTTGGTGAGCAAAGACGGTTGTTGCTTTCTACAGTACAGAAGTCAGAATCTTTAACAACACAGGGCAACAGGCCTGCACACACACACACACACACACACA